AAGGAAGAGATGTGTATTCCAAACAAACAAATCACAGTTTTCTCCCATTTCAAAGCAGCCATCAAACACACACATTTGCTATTATATACAACAGTCCACAGTAATTAAAAACCTACTTTTAGCATCGTGAAGAAATTCCTTGACATACAAAAAAATTCAACCAACAGCAAATAACAAACCTATCTCAAAGTCACGATTCATGTTCTCAAAAGAGCAACAGCAACTTGTTCTCCTGAGCTATTAAAATGCCATTCTGTACTACATCAACTGTGAAATGAAAGACAACAGAGGAAAAGTAGATGCCAAAGCTCCAACAGGATTGATACATGATACAGATGTGGAACTCATTATCCTGAGACAGAAGGATTAATTTAAATGCCTACAGGAAGACCAAATATTGAACTGAACTGTTAAATAGAGACAAAAATCATTTGGAAACTTACTCAAAACATGTTTACAATATAAGAGGAAAAAAAGGATATCCATAATTCTTTGACATGTTTATCTGTAATCCAACAATACACATTGAAACTGGTTTGTTTAACATGAGAATGACATGAAATAGGCAAAAATGTTCCTGTGAAAATTCTGCTCTTACCCACAGTCATCTTTTTACTCGCACTTTTTAAATCAAGCTTTAAGCATAAGGTGACACTTCATATATTTCTATTAATAAAATACAGAACTCATGTTATATATTACAGCAGTTTAGGATCTAAACATTGAAACCACCCAGAAAAGTAAAAAGAGTTGGGGACCCTTGAGTGGGAAAGTCAGAGCTCACCCTCAGCTGTTGCTGCTTTTGACGTTCTGCCTCTTGCAACTGTTGTTTCAGCAGAGCCACACTCCTCTGTAACTCTTCAATCAAACTGGAGGTCTGCAGGGATTTAACAGAAAAAGGAATTGTTTGTTGCACTCCTCATTAGCTCACAGAATCAGCTTTTGTGGCTTTAAATTTATTTCTCAAAGGCTTGGAAATTGGAAGAAATTATCAACTTGTGGAAAATAAAACCCCCACAAGTGTTTGAGTTTACAGCTCTGGATACATCATTTCTGGCCCTTTGGTGAACTGAGAAATGGCAATAAAATCAACAAAAAACCAACTAATAATAAAAAAACCCAACCAATAATAAAAAAACCCAAACTACTCTTGGGACTCAAAATTGAAAGAAAAACACCTTGGAAATGAAATGGAGTAAAGTATCATCAAAGCTCACAGAATTCCAGCAAATAAATGCAAAAGGCCTCACTTGTCCTATGGCTCTAAGGATCAATAGATGGTATTGAAAACATGAACTTTTCCCACAATCAACTGGAAAGAGATCCTCTGGTATCCAGGATTTTTAGAGAAGCACAAACAAAATCAGGATATTAATTGCACCTCACCTGAATCAGGTGTGAAAATACACCTGTCTAGACACATACATCAGAATTATGAGCAAACCTCATATGATCTTTGAGCCAAATTTGGGAAATGAAAAATTAAATCCCAATGTTATTAAAACTTACACACATGAGTAACTGAGGGAATTGAGGAGTTTCTTGGATTTATTCACAGCATTTTATTTATCTTGAGGAAACCACTCAAAGAACTCAAGCACATCTGAATGCCTGTTATACCTGGCAGCATACCTTAGCTGCAGAGAGAGCATGTTCCTGCTTTAAGAAATCTCTATCAACATCAAATTTACTTTGTAGTCGCTGAACGTTCTCCTCGTATTCCTGCATAACACGGTCCTTGTCTTTCTGAAGTATGTTGTACCTACAAGGATTAAGCAAACAGAATATGGAAATTGCTTTCAGATTTTGGCATTTTTACCTGCTCGAGATCAATTCTACAGAGTAGGCAAGTTTGCCTGTGCCATGTGCTCTTGTCACTGAATGAACTGCTTATAAATAATGGAAAGATGAGAGACTCCTTTAGATGGTTGGTTGGGTCCAGTGCAAAACGAGTTGGGCATCAATTGACACGTTTTCACGAAGGTTTGCTAATGTCAAATACTATTCACTGTGTTCTTGCAGCAAAAGGAATCATGTTTGCTTTTGGAAATTCCATATTGTTCAAGGTTAAACCACATTTGTTGTTTCATTACCTTGCTTGCAGCTCCTGGAGCTGGGAGCACACGGCCTGGTATCGCTCCTCGGCCTCAGCCTTTTCCTGAGATAATTTCTGACATTGCACGTGGCTATTTTCAACCTCCACAGTCAACTGCTGGACACGAGCCCCCAGTTGTAGTGGCTATTTTCAGCCTCCACAGCCAACTGCTGGACACGAGCCCCCAGTTGTTTGACAGCCTCATTCTGAAAGAAGAGGTCAGCGTTGAGAAAACTCCAGAAGAAATGAGGGAATATCCCTGTGGTTATTGAGTAGCCTTGAGCAACTTTGGTGACCCAGAGGCACAGGAGTTACAGCAGCAAAGCTGTCAGCAGTCATGTCAGGAAATCCTATGCTCTATGTCTATCCCCCCTCAAAGTCACATCTTCTCCCTTAAGCACAACAGTCTGTGCAACTGATTTCTAAATGACAAATCGTTCAGAACAGAAGAGGTGACAGATATTTCCATGGAAAACTGCAATGGTGACAATACACGTAAAGCATTTTTGGACCTTCCATTTAATCTATTTACAGAGATTTCCTTTCAATAAATCACAACATCTATCACAAACTGTATCTTTGTCCTAGAACTTCATCTCCTAACATAAACAAACCCCAAACTGAGCAGAGTAAGGCCAGGCAGGTTGCATGACTATTCCAGTGCTTCCCATTCTTCCCTAAATTTATGGTAATGTGCACGGAAATGAGAGGAGAACTCCTCAGGAGGCTGAAGTCACAAAATAAGACACAGCTGTCCTTGCAGGATGTGTCTCAGAGTTATTTTTGTATTAACAAAGGCCCAAAGATGAGGGAAGTGGAACAGAATTTGCACTCACTGTTAAAATAAAACCCCAAACATCTGCCACCTGCAGTGGGTGCCTAACTGTCACACCAGCCTGGCTGCTGCAAGAGCCTCACACAGGCACAAGGGTCACCTGAGTGCTCACCTGAGCTCTGTCAACTGGCCCAAGATACTTCCTGACCATAGGAAACTTCTCTGTCAATGCAAAGCAGCTGCACAGTATGGGGGTTTTTTTTCCCAGGGACAGAGGGTTGTTTGGTTTGGGTGGTTTGTGTTTGTTTTGAGCTTTTCTGGGCTTGGTGCTGTTATTTTTTTTAAGAAAAAAAAAAAGTCATCTCTCATATTGCCAGGTATCATAATTCCTCCCTGGCCCTGCATCCCTCCAGGAAGTTCAGACTTGTTCAGTGCACAAACACTCCTTATCAGCTCTGTGGTATTAGCTAAACTGCTCAGTCAATTCCACTCTC